TGGTGCTGAGGAATCGAACCCAGGGCCTCATGCATGCAAGGCAAGTAGGCTACCACTGAGCCACCTTCCCAGCCCTACCTTGGTTATTTTCAAACAGACCTATGACGATGCAGTATACTGTCTTAATGTTCTGGGTAGAGCACTTGCCTAGCATGCATGAGGCCCAGGTTCACCAGTGCATTTAAAGCCTGTGCCCCATTCATGCCATTTGTGTGTGCTTTTCTGTCAGGTTTTAAAAGTAAACTACACTCAGTTCCTGATTTTTGGAAGTTACTGTGCAAATAGCGTCAGGCAGAGTTACTCTGGCTTGGTACAGTGTGGATGAAGCAGGCCTTGCCTGTCTTTCTCTGTCTGGTTTTATGGGGATTATATACTACCAAACCTTTCCCTAAGGGTCTAAGAATTCTTTAAATTCTAAAGCATTCTAAACTCTTAGGAGTCTGTAACATTCCAGGCTCAGCTAATTTTAATGACTGGCAGATCTAAGTGCAATTTAAAAAAATCATTAACCAGGAAACCTCACAAAATATAGTGATTCAACATCATATTTTATTATTTTATTTACTCTTTTTTTTTTTTGTCAGTCGTGGGGCTTGAACTCTGGGCTTGGGTGCTGTCCCTGCGCTCTTCAGCTCAAGGCAAGCACCACTTCCGGTTTTCTAATGGTTTATTAGAGATTAGAGTCTCACGGACTTTCCTGCCAGGGCTGGCTTTGAACTGGATCCTTCAGATCTCAGCCTCCTGAGTAGCTAGGATTACAGATGTGAGCTACCGCTGCCTGGCTTTTATTTGCTCTTGAGTGACAAACTTTAAGGACAATGCTCTGGAGTTGAATTAGGTGTTTACTAACATTATGTCTAAAGTGGGCCTTTTCCTCTAAATACCTTTTTCTCCCTCCTCCTCCTCTTCCTCCTCCTCCTTCTTCCTCTTATTTTGCAGAGCTGAGGACTGAACTCAGGGCCTTGTACTTGCTAGGCATATGTTTTTCCACTAAGCTAAATCTCCAACCCTTCCATATAGTTATGAATATATTATAAAATTTCCTTGGCATATTAAGAATATTTATTTGTACCAGGCATCTCTAAGCCTGTGCATGCCTGTGGTTCTATCTGTTCAGGAGGTCATAGATGAAAGTATGAAGCTTGCCTGGACAGTTAGCTTCAGACCCATTTATAAAATGAAAAGCAAGAAAGAAGTGGAGTATGGTTCCAGTGGTAAGAGCTTATGAGGTCCTGAGGTCAAGTCCTTTTTTAAAAAATTAAAAACAATAGTATTAAACTCAAATGCATGGAAATGGATCACCAGAATTAAATACAATTTATTTATTTAAAAAGATTCTAAAAGTTTTTGTTTTCTTTTTCTTTTTGTCAGTCATGGGGCTTGATCTCTGGGCTTGGGTGCTGTCCCTTAGCTCTTCAGCTCAAGGCTAGTGATCTACCACTTGAGACACAGCGCCACTTCCAGTTTTTTCTATTTATGTGGTGCTGAGGAATTGAACCCAGGGCCTCATGCATGCGAGGCAAGCGCTCTACCACTGGGCCACTTTCCTAGTCCCTACTTTTCATTTGTTTGAAACAGGCAGGTTTTCTTCTTTAGTGCTGGGATTATAGGTGTGTGCCTCCATGCCTAGCTGAAGATAACATGCTTTAGTATTGTCTTTTTATCTTCCTTATTATCTTCACACTTATTGGTAATTCTAGAATGTTTATGTAGAGGAAAAACACGCGGTAGGTAGAGTTAGGAAGGCAAGGCCCCGCGGTAGTGTTTGGAAGGCAAGGCCCAGGGGACTAATTGGAGGCAAGTCATTGGAGGCATGTTTATAAGATTAGGCTGTTCCTCTTGCTCCTGCTTATGAATGAGTAATTTGAGGAGTTGCTGGATGGTGGAGGGTCTTTCTAGAGGACCAGATTTGCCTACAGTAACTGAAAGGACTGCACTGGGTAGAAGTAGTGTTCAGGGTTTATCTGACCTGAGTTCTTTGCCTATACAGATGATAGTTCCATGTGTAGAGCTTCATATTTGGAAAGGAAACCATTTATTTTAAAGTTATAGTTGAATGGTCAGCACATCACGTTTATTCCCCCAAAGAGGCTTTTATAGACTGCGGAAACTTCTATCTTATATGTACATGTCATTTTAAAATGATTATATGGTTGTCTCCAGAGAAATGAACACGTTATCAGAAAATTTCTTTGTCTAATATGTGGAATCTTTAAAAGTATTGAAAAGGAAAATAAAATAGTAATTAGAGCAAAAAAGTAATTAGAGCTGGGTGCTGGTGGCTCATGCCTGTAATCCTAGCTACTCAGGAGGCTGAGATCCTAGGATCATGGTTCAAACCCAGTCCAGGCCTGTGGGTCCTGAGACTCTTCTTTTTTTTTTTTTTTGGGTCTGGTCGTGGGGCCTGAACTCTGGGCCTGGGCGCTGTCCCTCAGCTCTTCAGCTCAAGGCTAGCGCTCTACCACTTGAGCCACAGTGCTACTTCCAGCTTTTTTCTTTTTGCTTATATGGTGCTGAGGAATCGAACCCAGGGCCTCAGGCATGCAAGGCAAGTGCTCTACCACTGAGCTACTGTCCCAGCCCTGTCATGAGACTCTTATCTCCAATTAACCCCTCAAAATCCCAAAGTGGTACTGTGGCTCAAGTGGTGGAGTACTAGCCTTGAGCTGAAGAGCTCAGGGACAGCCCCCAGGCCTAGAGTTCAAGACCCACAACCAACAAAAAAAGAAAGAAAGAAAAAAAAGATTAGACTGTGTGTTGTTGGACTATGGGGAGTTAAACCTTTCCCCTGTTTCATGTTAGTACTGCTAGGGTATGCCTAGACTTCGTACCTTCGCTTTTAATGAATATAGTGTGTATTAAGAATTAATGTGGCTGGGCGCTGGTGGCTGATGCCTGTAATCCTAGCTACTCAGGAGGCTGAGATCTGAGGATCACGGTTCAAAGCCAGGCCGGGCAGCAGAGACCGTGAGACTCCTATCTCCAATAAACCACCAGAAAACCGGAAGTGGCGCTGTAGCTCAAGTGGTAGAGTGCTCGCCTTGAGCTGAAGAGCTGAGGGACAGCGTCCAGGCCCAGAGTTCAGGCCCCACGACCGACCCAAAAAAAAAAAAAAGAATTAATGTGACAGTGGCACATGTTTTCTCTCATATGTGGAAGCTAGAGCTAAAATACACGGGGACATAATAAATGATAGTGGATTTCAGGCATTCACGCACAGTGAGTCAAAGGAGGATACTCTTAGGGGCGGAACACAAAGGCACAATGCCTCTGATCATATAAAATAATATTTATTGAAATGAATTCCAGGATAGAAAAGAATTAATGTGATCTGTGTGTGGTGGTACACCACTGTAGCCTTTACACAGTAGAGGCTGAGGCAGGAAGATCATGATGAGCTCAAGGCTGGCCTTGAACTACATAATGAAACCCTGTTTTAAAAAAAACAATAAATGTAAAAATGCTTCTCAAAGGACCCGATAGTGCCTTATTAACCATTATTTTTATTGTAATATTAGCCTCTTGGTTATTGATCTTAATCTGCTTATGCTGTTCTAATAAATACTACAAACAGTAATTTATAAATAAGTAATGGCATTTATTTCTCCTAAGTTCTGGCTGGGAAGTGTAAGATCAAGGCATTTGGTGTCTGGTACAGGTTTCCTGCCTTATGCTCACATGGCAGAAGAATGAGCCCACCGAAAAAATGCTTCTTACATTAGTTCCCTGCACGCCTGGGAGAAGGTGGCATCCGTTCTTAGGACGCACTCATGACTCAGCCCCTGCCCAAAGGCTCCAGCTCTCAGTACTCCCACAGCAGGATTGAGTTTCAACATGAATTTCAGATGAGGTATATTCAAATCATAGCAGTTCTTAGTCTAGACTGCAGATTGATGGTCAACGGGTATACCTCAGGCCTGTGTGTGTTTATAGTTGTTATAGGTGTTGGAATCTTAGAAGTGGCTGACTAGTGTATGTTTTTCACTTTCTGTGTTTATTGTGATTGAATTCTATGTTATCCTCTGAGCAGTTGTTCTTTGACAGATGGCTTCTTGCATGTGTATTAACATTTTGTTTTAGATTGTTATTGTAAAGGTGATACACCGAGTGGTTACAGTTACATAGGTCAGGTAAAAAGTACATTTCTTTTTGGACAGTGTCACCCCTTTCCTCACTCATTATCTCCTTTTTCCTCCCATCCCCACCCACGAGTGTATGTTTTTTTTTTTTTAAGGAAAACAATGTTTTATGACATGTTCTTAATTCCTTAGAGTAAAAATATAGAGTTTAAAATAATTCTTCGTTCTTTTTCAACTATAGGTGACTGAAAAAGACAGCAGGGGTTAAAAGGCCTAACGTAAGTGTTCATGGATTTTGAAAGCTCCTAAATAACCTAAGTTTTAAGACAAAAATACGATATCAGATTATTCTGATAAAACCTTTGAGCATAGATAACATCACAACTATGAAAAATGGTGATGTTAAATACAGCAACTTTGTGTTGCTTATAGCAGCGTACATTTGGAATATTTTGGGGAGGCAGTTAGGAATCATAAAAATGTCCTACCCTTTGGTTTAGTCTTTTTTTTTATTTCTGGAAATTTTTATGCAGTGATTCAAGAGAAGAAAAGAGCTATGTTTGCTTTTTATATTGCAACATTATCTATAAATGGTGAACAACACTTCAAGACAGGGCATAGAGCAGGAAAAGTTAAGAAAATTATATATGTCAACTAATTGCAACCGTTTAATGATAATTTCAAAAGCCATGTAGCAATATGGGAAAATTTACACTGTTATTTGTAAGAATTATAGACAGGTAAAAATACATATGTGGTTAGACTAGAAGGGAATATGAAAACTGTGAAAATAGTGGATGGTTAGGGTGGGGTGATCTGAGTCAGTCTTTGCAGAAATCTGCTTGTTAACTTTGTACAGTGATATACCTGGAAAAAATTCAAATCTGCTAAGAACATTATGTGTCCTGCCCTTGGGAAAACTAACCTTTGCCCATGTTAAGGAACATGTATTATTCTGTTTCTCTTTAAGAACATTTTACTGCTGAAACAAATGACTCTTTTAGCAAAACTTTTAAATTGAGATGTAGTTCACCCCTCTAAAGTGTGTGATTTAGTGATTTTAGTACATTCAGGAGGCTGTGCAGTCACAGCCATAGTAATATACAATCATCACCCCCCTCCCCCGCCAACCCCCAAGAAACTCCATAGCTAGAAACAATCACACTTCAGTTTCTACTCCCCATAGTCCCTGACAACTACCAATCTGTCCTGTCCTGTGTTTCTATGTGTTAGCCTATTCTGGACATTGCATGTAAATGAAATGTAGCTTCTTGTGACTGGCTTCTTTTATGAAGCATAATGTTTTCAGGATTCCTTCATATTATAACATGACTCAGTCTCTTATCTGTGTATGTGTGTGTGTGTGTGTGTGTGTGTGTG